GCACATATACGTTTGTAAGGTTGGACCGTGGTGGAGCAGTAGTAGTTACACGTTTACTGGGTCCGTCATTACCGAAGAACAAGATAACCAGCAGTCACAGAAGGTTTAGCAACGACTTATGTATCAAATTTGACAGTTATTAGCAAGTGTTTCTTTACACTTCAGGTAAAGTATATTGCGAAACTATTATGTCTCAGAGCTAACAGCGTTGGTTCGTAACTAAACTGAGCGTTACAGACAAATAACTTTTTTTAAGTTAGTCCTTGGTTTGGTTTCCCTGTTTTCTCAGAAGTAGTTTCTTGGGTTCCGCTGTGTATATCAAAATGGGTCTCTTGAACGTTCCAGAATAGGCGCATGATGCTCAGAAAGTTGAGTTTCTGAGAAAAAGAAGCAATATTACGCTTCGAGTCTTTCTTTTGTACAGACAGATCTACTAAACGGTAGAAATTGCCTATATAGAATACCACGTTATGCAGGAGCAAAATAACGTAAACTTTGGTGCTCAGAGGTACTATATCGAACGACTGGTAACTTTAAAGTTATAGTATAACAGATCACGTGCAAATGTAACGCAGGTTACGAAGTCAGCGCGCCCTACGGGTGATCATTCCAGACGAACCGTTCCTAGGAGCTCAAGGCAAACCCAATAAACCTATATCGATTTGTGGTAGGCAGAAAATCCGCCAGCCAGGGGGCTCGCGTCCTGAAAGGCTTAGACGGAGAGAACGACGATAACACTATCCAGGTTGATGGCCATTCACTCTAGAAGTCAAGACCTTTTAACCGAAGTACTGCAAACTTGCTACACAGTAGGGGACAATATCAGCGGGAACACTCGTTGCTGTAAAAGTTGACCCAGGGCTCTGTGACAACTGTAATCGACAGCCCCGCCTAGTGCTGAATTTACCATCACTGTCAACAGAAAAGATATCCAGGCCAACCCAGACTATGAAATCCCGGAATCCATCGTGGGAGAGAACGTGATTGGGACGGTCCCACCGAAGATGGCCGTCTTGTGGCAAATCTCGTCTCTCTCTAGTTTGCCACCACCAGGAGACCTCCATGTTGTTAGAAACATATCCAGGTGTCTTTGCGGTAATGTGAGGGGACTGAGAAGTAAGACGGGGGAGTTACGATCTCTCCGTTCCGTCTTGCTCCAAAGATCATGATCTCAACAGAAACTTGGCTATCACCGGATATTGGTGACATCGAAACTATTATAGACGGTATGCGTCTGTTCAGGAGAGACAGGGAGTTTAAAGAAGGAGGCGGAGTGGCAGTGCTTATAAGTGACCGTCCTGAAAGTGAATGAGCAACTAAATCTCTACTTTTGGGGCTCCTGGACTCCATCTGGTGTCACTTTACAGTTAGACACACCAAGTACCTGGTACGGACATCTACAGGACTCCCACTAGCAACGTGATAAATAACCGACAACTGCTGCAGGTGATGTCCAGAGCGACGTCCATGGGATATGACCAGTTCGTTGTAGCCGGTGATTTTAATGCCGCAACTCTGGATCCTGGGCAGGAAAGGTGAACCTCAAGCCGAAGGTTCGACCGAAACCTACCCAGCACAATTCAAAAGGCTCGACTGTGTGAGAATATTGGCGATGGCACTCGCTGGGGGTCTGGTGGAAAATCAACCAAACTGGACAACGTTTTAACCAGCGACCGTTTACCGGCTGAAAACGATCAGGTTCGAACCCCCCGTTGCCAGCAGCGATCACGGCGTGGCAGTGTATTCAGCGAACAACTGTCATGAGACGGATCTCACCCTTGTCTTTGCTACAGCAAGGCAAACTACGTGGCGATGAACCAATACCTGTCGACAGCACCATGGCCCCAGGAGTAGGGCAACCCGTCGACTGGTCAACGTTGGGAAGTGGTTAGAGATATCATCAAGAGGGCTATCTCTGGAAACGTCCCCGGGATCACAGCAACACCACGAAAGCGAACCATATGGCTGAAGCGAGGCACTGAACGCCTTTTGAAAGCCAAGAGGAGGGCATATCATAAGTGGAAGACCTCCAGAAAAAAGCCTGATCACACCGCTTATATAGCCCTAAGATATCAACTCAATATCGAGTTGGAGGAATACAGGAGATCATTCCAGATGAACCTTGCCCAGAAGCTCGAGGGGAACCCAATAAACCCATGTCGATTTGTGGTAGGCAGAAAATCCGCCAGCCAGGGGGCTTGCGTCCTGAAAGGCTTAGACGGAGAGAACCTCTCCAGACTGGAAATCGCTGAAGCCTTTAGCACCACCTTCAATACGCAAATGAACACCTCTCAATCGAATCCAAATTACCAACTGTCCCACTATTATCTTCGAAAAGCTATCAAGGCTCCGCCCAGGGAAGTCACCAGGATGCGATGAAATCCAGCCAGCTGTGTTGAAACAGTGCTGGGCGTCTTGTGCGGTCCGCCCCGCAGTCTGTTTCAGCACTCCTTGGACAATCACATGCTTCCACAAGGGTAGAAAAGTGCTATTCTGTCCCTCACCTTCAAAGGAGGAGACGGGCAGAACCCAAAATGCTACCGACCCACAGCCCTTCTACCAGTGGCATCAAAAGTAATGGAGAGCCTCGTAGACAACCATGCCAGGGAGTGCTCAGAAAAGAGGGGAGCACTTGGTGATGCTCAATATGGTTTCAGAAAGGGTAGGTCCTGTACGTCAAACATTCTGGCGGTGGGTGATAGGTGGACGGCATGCTGGGACCTCCGAGTTCCTGTCCATGTTATCCTCCTGGATTTTGCTAAGGCCTTCGACGCAGCCCCATATACCATTCTTATTCACACGGCAGCAGTGTTGAGCATCAGGGGGCAAGTGCTTTCATGGTTACAGGATTATCTAGGCGGTAGGCAATTCTGCACAAAAGCCAACAGAGTTTGCCCGACTTGGAGGACATCTTCATCTGGTGTATCACAAGGAGCGATTCTAGGTCCGCTACCAATCCCTCTTCTTGTGAACGACCTCGCACTGAATCTCAGCTACCCAATTCTACCTAATGCTGACGATGTCAAGTTGTGGAGAGCTGTGACGGCCGAAACAGAATCAAGTGCAAAGTGATTTCAGATTACTTGCAGAGTGGGTGGATGTTGATCGACCAGCATTTAATCTGGATAGGTGCCGAGCCATGTTTCTCCACGCCCCTGACTCTCAGAAGGTATTCCATTCTCTCTGTGGAACACAATATTTCCACATCATAACGGAGAAAGACCTAGAACTAATGCCTACAGACAAGCTAGACACTAGCTGCAACTATCCAGGAGACGCCTCAAGAGCCCACGCAGTACTGCACTTCATGCGCAGACAACTGGGTGCCCTGACCTCAGAACTCTTTCTGAAGTTGTACAAGACCTACATGCGACCTCACTTAGGGGTCCACAACGTCACTGCACCACCATGTCTGTGAAGAGACGTGAACCACCTAGAGAAAGTCCACAGGCGAGCTACAGAGGGTGTCGTGGAATGAGGTGAAAACCCCATGAGCACAGGCTGAAAGATCTAGGACTCTACTCTCTGAGCTGCAGTGGATTACGTGGTGACTTGGTAACAGCCTACAAAATACTAAGTAATCCGAGTCGTCCGAATAGTGGAGTCCTACCGAACGGCCACTGTGGCGATCCTCACGTAACCCAAGGAGAATTGCCCACCAAAGAGCGAAAACCCATGTGCGATCACACTTCTCTCTGAGAGTTTGTGGTCACCGAAACGCATTGCCTGCTGAGATTGCTACTGCTCCGTCTGTTGACAGCTTCAAGAAGAGATTGGACAGTTACGCGGTAAAGCACGGCTTGCGCTCATCCAGCTGGGATATGGACTAGGCTGACACAACCTACTAACTCAGTACGGCCAGCCCATTATCGAATACGTTATAATATCACTATCACTGCAAACGTGGCTCAGCTCTATACTCCCCTATAGACGTCCCCTCCAGTAACCGTCTCCTACTAATAGAATTACTATCTCTATCCCCATAAGCCGTCTTATAACATGTTTTCTTCTCTTCCCACTAACTTCGTATTCTCACACTTTAATAAAAGCTCTCTTTATCACCCCTCCCTATAAATGCACCATTGTTTCTCCTTTCGTACCATTTCCTTTTTCCTAATCGGCAAGTAACCAAGGCGCACTGAATATTGGATATCGGCAATGATTTGCTGGCAGTCTACTCGAAACTGGACGCTACCTTCATGAGTGTTGACTTTCGCAACGTACGTCAGATACTTTGTTTTATAGTTTTTCAGATTGCATTGTCTACTTGTCGTAAACTAATAACTTAGTCGAATATCTTTCGTGCTAGACTTGAGTGAGGGCTCGTTGCTTGCTGAATCGTCGGCTCATGTTTCTCCCCTACCCCCCCCCCCCGCCTGCTAATCTCTTTAACTTTCTTATGCAGACTGAGTGAAATCCCACCTCCTAACTTATGAACACTTGTCTGCATGATCCCTTAGCAGCGAGGTGCCACCGGGCTGGATGAAAACCCACCATAAAGTTGGTCGTTACATTTTGTTGTGTCGAATATTCGAAACCTTAAAGTGGGATTTAGCTCGACCATGATCAGACCGACGTGAACTCGCCAGCAGCCGTCCCATTTTGTGTAGCTCATAGTGAATTCATTCTCTATACCTACTCTCTCGTTCCGGCACGCCCACGCACTAGAGCTGCTTTTTCATTGAGGGAGCAATGTAACATAGACCTACTCATACCCTTTTTGGTTTTGATTTTCACGTTACCTTGTTTTCTCTTTGTCAGCTGTCACATTTATTTGGTTGGCTTTTATTATTAAACTTAGGTACATCCCTTGTGCTTTTTTAGTCTCCATCTGACCTTTTTCCCGGTTTTACCTTCCAGATTCCCGTGCCGGCTGTGTGAACCGCTACCGTTAAACATAGGCACACTCGTCTGCCTGCCCCCTGCAACAACAACATCCACGGGCTAGACGAAAACGTACTAACTACTGGTCGTTACAAAGATTCAAAGCCTCAGTAAAGATGACTGATCTGGACCTCTACAGTGAGATTATCGTTGAAGATAACGAGAAGAGATTCGAAAATCTTGCGAATTTCGAGGTGATAATAGGGTTTCCATGACTATGCTTAACCATTCTTAATAGTTCTCAGTGATATGACTTGTTTCTTTTTATTAGCCTTATAGCAAACGTGCAGTTCATACTTCAAATTTAGAGTAGTCTGCAGAATATAAGGGCATATAATGACGATTTCACGAGACCAGCCTGTGCAGTTTCAGTGTGTCATATTCGTGTCAGCGTTATTGTAGGATGATGTATGAATGTTTGCTCTCATGGGGTACATCAATTCTCAGCATCGCAAGTGTTATGTGACAGCACTCACTTCCCAATCATGCACCTGTTGGGCGTCTCAAAGAGCAACAAATTGTGCTGGTTAATGTACTAAAGTTACTGTTGTAGTTGTTTCAACATTGGGTTGTTCTTGCTTTGTCATATTTAAATATTGAGAATTTATATAAGCAACGTTTCTCCCTTAAAGCCCGAACGCGTATCGTCTCTTCAAGCCCAGTGTTCGTTCCTGGAAGCTGAAGTTGAAGCTTTGAATGCACATGTCTCTCGACTGGAGAAAGAACGTCTGGCTCTGATTGCTACAAAAGACCAGATAACAGATAACTTCTCGCGCTTGGGACTGGCCTGTCGCAAAGAAATCGAGAAGTTGAAAGTACAAATGAAGGTGATATGCTCAAAGTAAGTAAACTTGTAGGATAAACATTTTAAAAACTGTTTTGGTCCATCTACGTCATGCATAGTGCTATATCACCAAATGCATCATCCTCCTTGGGTGAGAACAGTCTTTAATGTCTGGCCAAGGTGTACTCTCAAACCACATATAAACAATATGCATGGATGTTTAGACTTTAGAAATAACGGTTAAATTGTAAATTGAAAGAATACTAATAGGAGTTAATGTATTATGAGTAGATTTTAATGACAAGTTTACCCAACGGTGAATTTTTTATTTTGGTGATATTTCTAGCAAAAGTATCAAAATAAAAACTTATCGTTATGTGTATGTAAACTTGTCATTAAAAATCTGCTTATAATACACTAAGCTATTCCACAATGCAGTAACTTATCATTTAAGTATTTTTTGTCTTGATATTCAGATCTTCAAATTAAAATAGTAATTATCCTGCGCTTATGAGAAGGGACACATCTTTTCTTATTTCAGCTGTAACTAACGATGGAACACGTTAATTTATAGTTTGTTAGCATCACTGTGGGACCCGGCATTACTGCGTAACGGTCCACGTTGCCACACCTCATCTCTACATCAAGCAACAAAGTGAGGTGAGAAATGAAGTAATGGAGAAGAAAGTGGTGGAAAGTCATCAAGAGAGAGAGCCAGCACGAATCAGAGTATACTGACACTCAGTATGACGATTTAAATAATATGTGGATACATCTGCGCCACTCAAATCGATTCCAAGCCACATCACCTACAGGTTCCAACTACTTGTTCCCGTTGCCGCGTGGAGCACAACCTCAAGATAAGCATTTCCTTACACAGCTCAGACCAACAGTCGAAGAATTCACCAAGTACCTGACTAAATAAATGACTGACTGACTGATGCTGTTTTCAGTCGTCTTTCAGCCTCAACCTACTTCAGCTGATAACGTAAGATAAATCACAGGTGACCAGGCATACTAAATATAGATACCTGAGTTGATCAAGGTTCTCCCTTAAACTCTTCACCCGATTTCTGTGTTACGTGGTGACACCACAACATACGGCTTATGCTTTGAAGACAATGGTGGTCAAACACTCGATACCTTCACGCGTCTCATCCCCAAGTCTTAAGTGATCATGTCTTACGTCTAGCAGAACAAAGCAAACGTTGAACACTCAACTTGCCTCTTAATCAACAATCGGATAGCACGTCAGTCTCACAAGTGGCGAAACCCAAAAAAAGCCAATCAGGCCTCTTCCCTCTCTGCACAGATTTCGTCCAGCAGCAATCCACCACAGCTAATCCAACCTCCCAAATAGATGGGGTGGTGGTCAGCGCGCTCAGCTACTTCACTGCTTATTGTTAGTTAAACGAGGCACTAATACATATCAGTCATGGAGCAAAAAATTGGCATCGGTGGTGACGACCAACCCATCCCGAACATTCTCAAATCCTCACTTAAGGTGCACAGAACGTTTCATCTTATCAGCGTCTTCACCTCACACGATCATGTCACCCGCGTGCTCTAGATCTACCAAGGATTCTCCTCTGATAATATCAATCCATATAAAGTCAGATGACGAGAGGGTGACCTCCGGAAGAACATCTGTGATAAGATTGAGTAGAAATAAAGAGGGCATCCTTGACGGACACCATTCTATACAGACAACTCACCATAGGATCTAACACGCCCGCGTGTACTCCAGTACACAACCTTCAGTCGTGTACTTACTTTATACCCCTTTCAGTGAGAGAGACTGCCATAAGACTTCGCGATCGACGGAGTTGAATCCCGCCTTCTGGTAAAAAAAATACAAGTTAGTTTCGGGTGTCGGTTAGTGTGCCTATCTTCCAGAACCCGGAAAATGTGAATATCGGGTCTATACACCTGTGGCCAGGTCTGAAGCTTCCCTGAATTCCCCGAGTTTGCCTTTCTTGTGCTCCACTCAGACGTAAAATTATAGAACGTAGTCTTAAACAATATACTCATCAGACTGATTCCTCTGTGGTTATCACAAGAGGATTTCTCTCCTTTTTTGAAGACGGATACTGATTGAAGCCAGTCAGAGGGTATTATATCGGACTGCCACTAGCTAGTTAATTTGACGAATAGTCCTTTAGCACCGTTCTTAAGTACCTATGATACTAATCCGTCCCTACTGCTTTTTCTCGTTTCAGGTTACCTACAGCGTTCTTGACCCCTGTGAGTATTATGGGACATATCTCGATGATTCATTTAGGATCCGACTAGATAATGGGCAACCAAATAGTAGTTGGAGGCCATTTGAATCGTTGCCCCAAGTGTTCCGCTCATTGTTTCAGTCGTCTTCCCTGCAATCGAATCACAAACCCATCCTTCTCTTCTATAGTTTCACTAACCGTTTACCTTTTCTCCCACGTTTCTTTAATGAGTCTAGATAAATGTCTATCGCAGCTACCTGTTTGGCTTTCACTGCCCACGACTGTTCGTGGTCGTTGCGTAGATATTCTGTCTGTTCACAGTTGAGTAGCTTCTGTTTCTCATTATGTTGGGGTCCTATGGGGATGCGTTCGCATGCACCCATTAATTGAGAAGCTGCTTATCACCAGTAATTTTCCGGGTGTTTGAACAACACATAGGTTGAAAACCAACATTTGTTTTTCTGATAATTAGGGTTGTCTTCGATTTCTTGCGTAGAACTGTCCACCATGGACTTAAAACACTTATTCGATGATACATACAGACAGTAACTGTTCGTCGATCGTTGCAACTATTTAACCTCACTTTGACGATTGCATGTGAAATGTGGCTATTTAATATGATGAGAGAATACACTGAATCCTGCGGTTTTTCCTTCCGTTTGTTTTCTTTCATATCTGCTATAGGCAATGGAAGGACAGTCCTACACTAATTGTGATAATTCCCCCGTGCGTGAGAGATGGTATGAAGTTATTTATGTCTTGGAACCTGCAGCAATATGATGTTTTTTTGTTTTCAATAGTTATGTCTCGTCATGCAATAGGAAAGTCAATTTCCGCGCAGCAAACTCTTCCTTTAATGCATATTCCGATATCTTATCGGCATCAGAGGTCGAAATGAACTCAAAAATCACATGCAAGTTCGTGCGGTGGGTAGTGAGCCACATACTGGATGAAAGCTAATGATATTACTTGGTTGTCCAGACTGCGATAGGTGAAACCTGTAACCCATCGTTTTAAAGTCGAGTGTTTAGATTAGTAAACCACAGCCCACAATACATCAGAAGTGGAGATAACTGGTAGGCGCTAAGCGAGTCTATTATGTCCCAGCTGGGATTTTGTCACCAACCGGCCCGTTACGATTGATGAGACTTCCCAAATAATTGAAGTGGTCAACTTATTCCCATCTTTAAAGTGGGAGTAGAAACGGACTAGTTTTGAAGTATCGTCTTACATTTGACAGATGTGAAACGCATACCAAAATTATTCAGGAGACACTGCATTTTTCAGCGTCTTCACCTGCATATGGAGTCTAAAAGGTAGTCTCCGGGTAGCAGCTTAACCTCTGAGAGTTGAAACGTTGAAATATCATCCATACTTGAAACTTGTCTAGTTTTCTCACATGTTGTTTTCGATCTTCAGTTAGGTGTCGAATAGTTTTGAATCCTTGGATTTAAGACAGTGTCAATCATATTGATGTCTGTATCACCACAGGAAAACTCATCCGTTCTAATAAACTACAACAATCAACAATTTAGATCAGTTTTGTGGAAATACCCCCTAATCTTTATACATCAGTCAATTACTCAGTTACCCTAGTCTATGATTCTATATCTAAATCTCCAAAGACTTCTGGTTCTGCTGCCTTGCACTGTTTTGGAATTTGGAACAACATTTGAAACCTCGGTAGGTGTTGAAAGATCATCACTTGCATTCCATTTAGGTTCGGGTTAAAGCAATTGGAGTGATGTTATTATTAAGTTATTGTTCTGTTGAAAATTGCTACAGGAAAGGTTAGAAATGTCAAAACTAAAAGTAGCATATCTCCATTTTCCTGGCGGTATAACGGTGAAGACAATATCAATTCATAGACAGACTTGCAGAAACAACTAAGCTATCAGACTTTAAGGAAAGCCGTGTGTGACCGGCCTTAAGCAGTTGTCTCTTGGGCACCGCAGTAACTAACTCTTCTTTTTCAGGTGACCTCAAAAGAACCACAATTACAGGTATGGGCAGCGGGGAAATGACGACCACCGTCATAACTCTGTTAGAACTCATGTTCCCTCAGGCCACTATCATCAGCCTTCCACATTTCTGCTTTCCAATCTTCCTTCTCCTCTCTTGTTCAATAACCTAAATCATCTTTACTTCCTTCCAGATCTGAAGCTCCTAAAAGCGATTTCAGTTCACTAAACGTCATCCCTGATCTCCCTAAACCGCCCTCCAAACTACACACTGAAGCTTTCAATGTCCTCACCCTTTGTCAAATCAGCCAACAAGCTTCGCTAACCAAAACTTTACCATCTCGGTCCGTGGATGTGTGCTGTGATTGTGAGACACATATACGGGACCCAAGTGCGGTTATTCACTTACCTCAATCGGTCAATGTGGTGAATTTCACAAAACTCACTCCAGCTTCTGGAGATTCATTGACTACTTCTTGTGGTTATGGTCTTGCAGGTGTAGGTATAGCATTGATTACTAAGGCATAGAGTTCACTGCTCAACTGGATCCCAGTTGACAATCGCCTATGCGATATGCGAATGAACGATACCATGAGAACTAAAAAAGGTAGTGGAACTTGCCTGTGTCTCTTTATAATTTCTCCTTACTTACCCAGTGACTGCAGTTCGGAAGTGAAAGATTTGTTGTACGGAAGAATTCCTAGCCTGCTAATGAAGGCCAACTGTTCAGACTTGGTTTTCGAAATGGATGATCTCAAAGCACAAGTAAGTAGGCTAAGTCAAACAGAAAGGTACTCAAGTGGCTCTTTCGAGATCCCAGCTGAAGGAACAAATAGCGGCAATAGCCTGCCACAACTGCGTTCGGACAACCATTCATTCCTGGCCTGCACCGATTTCAGCTATAAAGAGAGATATTGTCTGACGTATGGCGTCCCATGATCTCAACTTAGCAGCGGGCGCAGACCGACGATATTGCTACCAGTTACCACTGAAGACAGTCTGTGGAAGACTAATGCTTCTTTAGGAGCTCGTATTTGTACAGCCATCACGTATTAGTGCTCGCAGACGTGTCTGCACCTTGAGTGATGCAGCAAGACCACTTCGAGCTGAGCTCTACGATCAAAATGGTTAGGTTTCTTTCAGTAAGAAATTGGCTAGGGAGTTACCAAAACAGAACAGTACCGCTCATCCCGGAGGAGTTTAGCGCATTCTTCGGTTTGCTATGAAAACGGTGTTAAGGACCATAACTGTTCCTCAGAAAGTGGTTAGAAAGAGCCGATAGGTCTCAGTGACTTCTTACGAGTTACCGGATGCGCACGAACACATTCGTGTGGTTTTCAAGCAGAGTGAGCACTGGAAGCTGAAGAAGTAAAAAAAAAATAGCTGCAACAGGTTGCAGTGAGTAGTCATTCAAACTTCTCATGAAAACGCAAGTAAGCACATTGATGATTGAGACTAAAGAAAAAAGTGAGTTTGTGATTTGCTCCACTAACAGATGACTAGAAAGATGAGTGGAGCACTTCGATGAACAGCTCAACTAGCCTCCAGCTACTATTCGGCCGCTTGCTATCCAATTGGATTCTAAATGGAACGTTGAGATTACACCATCTTTTACAGAAGTTCAAAGTAGCTTGAGACGAGAAGCGGTAGAAGAGCCCGCTCGCCTTGCAACAGAGATATTCAAGGACGGTACTCAAAGATTTTTGACTTGGATGCCTGGCCTATGCTAATCAGATATAATCCTTTCTGATTGATCTTAATTGTTTACTGTCCAACTCTTCAAGAAGAAGAAGAAATCAGTCTAAAAAACATAGTGTTTCAGATTCCAGGATGTTTAGTCATTAGATATCTAAGCGAAGCTCATAAACAGTAAACCCAAAGAAAGCAGCAGGTTTCGGACATGTTCGTAGATATGTCGATCGAATATTCACTCTTCACCAGGTTCTGGAATACTTAACAATATCCAAAATTAGCTGTATTTTCTTACTTGGTTTTGGCATTTAACTCACTTGATCGAAGGGCTTTATGACAGTATCGCTAACTAAAAAAGGTCCCCGGTATGTACGTCACTTTAATGACGGACTTAAACTTGAACACAGGTGGTTGTGTGAGAGCCTACAGCAAGGTATCATGTCACCACTTGTATAAATTGAGTGGTGTCCATCAAGGATGTTGATTCTCTTTTTCATTCTATTTTTTCGTAGATGTGTCATGAAATGGAACTCCTCCTTTAACTTTTGTAGAGATCGATCTTATTTCAGGAAACTTGTTAGTAGATTCGGGGTTTACAAACGTTAGAATCCTGTCAGGTGAAGATGCTGACAATATGCAGTCTTCTAGACACCCGGACTGGCAACTCGAGAACATTAACGGTACATTTTTCACCACCGAAATGCAAGTTTTTGCTCCCGGACTTACTGCTTCGTTACATTGTGCAAAATATGAGTAAAACGCTTGAGCGCACTAGCCACTTTATTTACATGCGAAAGGGAAATCGACCGTGTCAGATTAGTGGTCAACAAAATCTTAGCAGTGTTCGAGAAGGCTGTAGTGGCTCTCACTAGCTTACATCATCTGTGCTCCTAACTTGATGTCCTATGGCTTAGTGAACCACATCGCGTTCCATCACACAGTAGTTTGTGGAATTGAGGCACTCTGTGTTTTAGCGAACTAGTTCGTCATTTCACGGATTGCACTTTTCATTCTGATGAACTTAACTGATTATCAATTTTAGAGTTCGTTCAATATATGCTTTAATACACACCTTCCTTACCGACGTCGGTGATTCGGAGGTGCGCAGTTAATTTCATCTTTCCGTCTGAGAAAAACCTAATTATGTAGACTACTTTTTCATGTTTTTCTTTCAAATTTTGATGATTCATAATTTCATGTTTTTCAGTATGTGATATGCTATTTTTAATGTAGGTATAAGATTCCGGAACCGATGGCTATAAGCAGAAGAAAACTAAGTTGCGAAACACAGATAAATCCTGAAAAACAGAATTACTACACAGATTTGGTAGCGTATTTGCATGCTGATCCTCTACCTGCTAATATCTATCCCAATAGCAATGTGTCAAGCAAGAGTCCTGGTGTTATGTCGAAGCGTGATGCATTTACGCAAACGGAGCGCTTTATACGACACAGTTCACCTTCATCTGCATCTTCTTTTGGGTCTGTCTCATCCCGTTCAATTTCGTCAAGTTCTTCTTCATCTTCTACATCATCTTCAAGTTCTAGTAGTCAAGACCAACCTCCATCTCACGTGGCTTTGGTAAATAATGATGCCATGTCGAACTTTACTGACCAGTCAGTTGATGATAGACAGGTACTATCGCTTTCACGACCGGCACTAGTGATCAATCCCAAGAAACTGGAAAGGTGTGGATGTCGAGATCCGGTTAGGCGTGAAACGCATGATAGAACTTGTGAATTAAGTAAATATAAACAAGAGGACTCTTTTCCAAAACACTTACTTGCGGCAAAACGGTTGTACAGTTGTGAGAGAAGATCCAGAGAAAGATATGCACCAAAAAGTGGTGTGAAAAATCAGGGACCTGTTGGTAATGCACGTAGTGGGAAGTATGCTAAAGAAATTTCTGGGAGGTTTTCTCTCAAGCCTCACTGTTTTCATCAAGCAAATTAAAAGAGCATCGAAACAATCATGAAATTGTGAATGATTCTATGCGAAAAAGTAATATATCGACGGAAACTCAAATGTTATCACTTCATAGAGTTAAAGCGTTTTCTTCACCTAAGAGAGAAAACATTGATCAACCATCCTCAATTAAAAACTCAACTGTAAAGGACTCTCAGAACTTGCAAATCGATCAGCATCGTTCCCAATGCTTGCGAACGGGTAGCCCAAGTAAAGTAAAAGATTCCTGTGAGTTCCCCATGTCATTATTTGTTCATGTACGCATTCATTAGCTCACTACAAATATATAACATAATGCATATATATATATATATATATATATATATATATATATATATATATATGTATATATATATATATATATATATATATATATATATATATATATGATGTTGATGATGATGATGACTTATGTGCAAAACCTCTTGCTGTACATTTTATTTGTAGTCAGTTTTAATGCAATAGATTTTAGGATAGGATTTCTTTAACGAACGAAAACATTTTCGTAAACGATTCTAGTTAATCAAGTGATTTCAGAATATAGAATAGTTTGATGATATCATGGCTAGAATGTTCGGAAGACTGGTCATGTTAACTGAAAGATGAGATGGTTCAGTGATTAAGACTTAAGTGAACCACTGATTCATAAGTTCAGATGAAATTGTTTATTGGAATCTTGAGAGATTAGTATCATTGTACTATGCAACTCACCTACTCGGTATAGGCTCATGCACTAGATTGAGTCACATGTAGTATGAGGGCAAAAGATACTGTCCAGTTACCAAAATTGAAGTATGCAAAGCAAAGACTGCGTGTGGAGCTTTCACACTTGTTGATCACGGGAGATTAATCTATTTCATGTAAGGTGCTGTGTACTGACTGAACTCTATCAATGACACTTCTTAATGTGGTCGAGCTAGGAGACTCAAGATCTCAGTGAGTTTTGCTTGTTGCTGGATGGTTGGAAGCAATCAGCTCCTTGTATTTGCTGGTGAATACCAACATGTACAAAGCTTAGGTCTGGCGCTTTCTACTGATTGACCCAAAAACGTCTTCCTTATCGAATAGTCCGGGGTGTCGAATCATAATATGCAGTTTTCCCGACAAAGTCTTTTCAGTTTTTTCACTTTTTAGGGTACTATTCGGAAGAAATGGTAAAGGAAGGCTGGTGTGATACTCTATGACCGGTTTAGTGGATGTGTTCATCTTAGGGGAGTTCTTGGTCTTCTGTCATGGTTCAATGACAGAATATATAAGTCAGATTCATACTGGTTGTCAGTCAGTATAGCTTCGGAATTGATGATAAGTAGATTTCTAATGACTGATATTTAATTATGATAATATTTCGGGCAAAATCAAAGAACTTCATTGTGTGTAAATATTCATTACAAATATATTTATAATAAACTGATTTTCTGCGATATAATAGCTATGGATATTCGGTTTCACCTGTTCACTTTGGTAAGAAGATGTAAACATGGTAAATTTGAAGTTCCTTGTTCGGAGAATAGGGAAACAACCGTGTAAAACCATTTCAAAAGGCTGAGCTAGCTCTCTTTACCCTCATTCGTATCAGAGCAATTAAATAGATGAATGTTTCCGAAGTCCAGGAGATAGATGGTTTACATAGGATTTAACGTCCAACGAATAGTACATAGTATCTTCATGATCGTGAAATAGTGTATGAATCCTCTTCGGTCACCACCAACCGCAAAAACACAACCTAACATTACCCCTAATATGAATATGAACAACTAATTCTGTTCGAAACATCGAGCAAATATTACCGTTTCACTGTGTGAAATATCAAATAAACAATCCAATAAGACATTACTCCATTGTCTTGTGAATTAGACTTCAAGTCAAAGGTCCACAAAGTTGTCTATTAAAAACTCACCTGCTGTAGTCGCATCATCTGAACTCTATATCGTCTTTCATACGAGGTACTATATAACATCGTAGTGAGGACTTCAAATCACTTACACGACCAACTGACTACTTGTGAAGCTGATTTAGTTATTCATATGAATTGTATTCTCATATGTGAACTGGATTGTTTTATTTGTTTCACTGAATTGCTCACCACTTTTAAACTCCATGTACATTCGTACCTTTTTGAGTTGCTAAGCAGCTGTTTTTTTTATATATATCTTCAAGTGATTTTAAAAGACTACCGTTTTGATGTGAGCTATCTCTAAGACCTACATACAAGATCTCACTGTCGTAATTCCGATAAACTGCTCATCGGCTAGCTCAAAACGCAAACGTCACTTGTGCTAGCAGGAAGACACTGAGGCAACCCAATCCTGTCTTGTTGGTGTCACCGTTGCGAGTGCTGCAGCTAAAGCTGCACTCATTGACTGCATCCCTATTAGCAGTCGTCTATATACTGTTAAGGTAGAATATTCAGTGTAACCAAGAAGTAACTTTCTACGCTGCCACGGATTCCCATTTTGATTGAAATATAGTTAAAAGGATTTCAATACACAAACTTAATTTCTTAGCTGAGTGAAGAGTTGTTTAGGGTAGTCACTGGCCACACATTATCAAAAGCGTTTTCTTTGGCTTCATGTAGATCCCAATCAAATTCTGAGATCTATCATATCGATGTGGTACCTGATGTCCATCACTCATTTTGGAGCAGTGACAGTCAGCCTCCTCAGATTACACTTAATCAGTTAATGATCAATCACTGTATATTATGTGCTATATACCATTGGAATGGAAATTACTCTTGCAAGACGAGTTGGAGTCTGTCTACACTTACTCCTAACGACTAACTGTTTTATGGGTAGCGGGAAACTTCGTGTATCTGGGCGGTAATGTAAGTCCTGATGAAGACTTATGGTGATAATTAGAACATAGCGAGAAATTGTGCGCATTTGTGGTAACGTTCTTCATAATTAATTTGTAGGTACCGGCCCAGACTCATCGAGCAGAAACTCTGTTTCAAGTCAACTTCTCAAGGCTGTAGAGAACGCCGTACGCTCATCAAGAGATCATCACGCTATTCGCAGACAGCATGTTTCAGGTAACGCCCAAATGATCGAAGTGTTCAATGTTGGATTTTTGATTATTATTTATTGTGATTATTACCTTTCTCATTCTGCTAAAAGCCGTAGTCATTTACATGGCTTATCGACGAGTAATGGGTCTTGGTGTTGATTATTATCATTTGGTATTTGTGGAGAATTTATTGGAAGTAACTGATGTTTTACATCACCGAGACATTGTGCGAAAGTCGAAACAGTTTTCTCGGGCGTATTATATCCGAAGTATCTGGGGAAATATGCATTTTTCGTAAGCAAATATATGCATAAAGTTGTAGAACAAAATTGGTGACCTTTGTTAACAAGGCTGCTGAAACTTATCATTCTCCTTTGTATCAGTAATATTTCAAGTATTGTTTTGATCGCTATGACTTACTTTCTTTTTCTAAGCCAATGTTGCCCACCGCAATCGATACCCTAGGCTCTTATGCCGTACAAACCAAGTTCCTGTGGAAGTATCTGGTATGAGAAGTGGAGACTGTTCAAGCGAACCTGAAACACAAAGCAGAGAAGCCAGTTGTACATTGTACGCAGTGCGTGCGCATTCAAAGGGTAACAGGAAAAATATGGTAGTTGAATCTACCTCTCAAGATCTAACTGATGCAGGTCACAGAGCAGTTAAGGACAATGAACAACTGACGTGTAACCAGAACTCGACACTCAATGCTTTAATTCCTGATTCATCGAATAATATTGGTGATATCCACTCCCTTGGAGACCATTCTACTCAAGAAGTTGAACTTGCTTCGAATGAACCGGTGACAAATTCTTTTCATCACTCTGGTCAATCATCAACTCACTTTTCTCCAAAGAATGATTCATTTTACTCTGTAGAAAACAAGAGTGCTGACCTGGACATTCCAGAAGTTTTGGGACTTACCCACCTATATCTCATGAACAGGAATTCACTGAGGATCGAACTGATACACCTTCCATACGGTTAGTGATTAGTTCAGTTTTTGTACTAACGTGTTTTATGTTTCATTTTGAGTAACAAAAAGGAGAAGCAGTTAGAAATATATGGTATACTGTTGTTAAATTACAAAAAATTCCTTGAGCATTTTGGGTATCGGCACCTGTAGAGTTGGTTCATCAAAGTATGACAGTAAAACTTTCACCTGCAAAGGTCTTGACAGACTAAGGATCACATGTCCAGCCATTTGGCACAAGCTTTTAACACACTTTGCCTACTTCAATCAGGATAGCTATGTAGTGTTTTCGATTGTCATATGTTTGTATGCTTTATATCCCACTCAGCTGGTCTCGGATAGTGTCATTAGCCCCATGCAATGGGTGGACCTCATTGCCTACTGCACGGATGTACACAAAGTTGGTCAATGCATTTCGACTCGACTAAGTCTATCTAGCAGGTGGTTCCGGTTTTTTAGGGAACGTTCTTGGATTTTATCTTGCTTGGTGTTCACTGTTTTTTTATGTTGACATTTTTTGACTATTTCATTGCCACATTGGCTACCTAACTATTAATCCCCTTCAGCAAAAAAACATTGTCTAGAATAAAGTGATTATTATTACTGTTATCATTGTTATTATTATTACCATCATCGTCATCAGAACACGTAGTGGTTACGTGTTGTAGTTTTGATCCATCATAAATCAGCATTATTTGAATATGCGCTAAGGCCATATGGTGGTCACTAACCAAATAAGAACAAGTTTCTAAGAGTTCTGGTTAGTTAGAAAACATTCGGAGAGTTTTCCAGCGATTTAATATCGATCGGTTTCCAAACTGCAGTAGTATGCAAACCGCGTCGTAGTCCGTAGTACAGAAAAACGTATGTCTCACCCACTATTCCTTAAAATTTCGGTTGCCCTTTACTGGAAATAAAAAAATAATGATACTGCAGTGGTGACTATATCAGTACGCGTAGTTGTGCATCTGTTGGTTAAACATTTCAGTTGTCACCAACTTAGTCATAGTTTTGCAACTATCTCTGGTTTCCCCTATGCTATGAATCACTGAGCCAACGTTTCGCTTATCATCTTCCACTTCGTTGTGACCATTGTGTTCAGACCAGAATATTGCGAAATTAGGTGGTGTATTCATCCTTGTAGAGTGCTAGTCACAAAGTGAACGGTACTCTAGCTCTTTTATACCACCCGTTAAGTGTAAATATGACTCAACTGCTCTTATCCAATGGAAGGAAGAATGTAATTGGAAAGCGACTAAAATTGAAGTGAAAATTCAATTGCCTCAATACTGTTTCTTTGTTTTTCAGGGAACCAGAATCATCCGTGTAAACTGATTGATTTCAGTGTGATCTGATAATGTAATAATTGAGTTCATTGTCTTGAGGTGAATTAGCCAAGCATCAAAATTTAAGCTGAACTGCATAGATCTGAAATCCTCAACGGTTCATCCCGCAAGTAACATAAAGTAATCCCATAATAAATGCATACACATTCTGAACCGATATCATCTGTTGACTTGCTAATGAACTTACTCGAAGACCATGGTTGTTACGGAAAATTATTTCTGTTAGGTTTGTTTGCAGGTATAAGCTGGTAGTTTTTGTATGTTACTGCTGTGAGTTGATCAGTTGTGTATTGTTTTGGACGTTGCCAAACAAAATCATAACAGCTAGTTTATATGAAATGACCTGAAGAAAATTATCATGTTTCAAGTGTACTCACTACTTGTCCTTGAAATTGCGTACAATATGTTAATGTTCATTTCTCCGTTCTTCCTCTCATGCGCTTTTGTTTATTTTGATGTCATTATACATCTGTCGATTTTCATATTGCACTGTGATAGAAAGAAGGTGACAACTAGCAGAAATGCACTTTTTTGTCTGCTCTCTGCTTGCATATCAGTCTGTCCTATTGAGTGGAGGATAAACTGGTTTTAACATTGGGCATTCAGCATATTCATGGGTTATCTGTATTTGGAGACGTTGTTTAGGAAGTGAATGATTGTCACTTCATGAAGGTTATGCACATGGTAGATTGAAGTCAAAAGCGATGTAATTAGAATAAGCATACGGTTTGTTGTTCATGTGCGGGTGAGTTTCGTCAGTTAGGTTTGACTTCAGATGTAACGCAAAACATTCACTTGCATTGTAGATAGGCATCATTTCTGTATCAGTTTATATGGTTGTAGATTCAGTATTATTGAAAATCTGGTTTTCTGCGCAATCAGTGTTTTGTTCTTAAAAATAGCCTTCCATTTATCTACAGCACATTTCATGAAGATAACTGAGAAGTCAGTACTGTATTTTAGACTCAATCGTATTCAATGGTAAAAGTCACTGGTTTGAAACAATTAAGCTGTGCGATGAGAGTAGCTGATTTTGTGTAATACAACTTCTGTCCGTTTCTTTCTTTATAGTGCTACAATGTATTGTGATAAGTATGTTTGATTACTAATGTTCTGCAGTAAGAAACTATCACTTGTAATACTGGTGTTCCGTGGCCTTGACTTACTTCGTTGAGGTGATTTGATAAGGTCAGTTATAAATAAACACCCGTAAAGTATAAAAAGGAGGAGGAATATGCAGTTAGGGAATTACAAGGCGATCAAGTTAACTGAAGAAACTGCATCATTCATGGATGCTGTTGACATGGTATCATTTGGCAGATATCCACTGCTACAAGCTAACCCTTTGAATTTCGATATCTGCAGTTTTAAATGGGTCGTATTGTCCCTGATGGCTAGTCGCTGTAATAGTGCTAGAGGAAGCTGGTGGGAAAGCGCTGTCTTAGAAGTAATACGTCATTTGAACCAGCTATTTCGAGTTGTCATGTTATATTGTAGGAAACAAAAGTGACAGCGGTTCACTGGGAGAAAACAAAACATTTTTCACAGTTAGTTATTGTGTGTGAAAAAACGTTCTGAGTTTTTACAGATATTGCTAAACTGTCAGTTGGATCTCGTCATTAAAAGAATATGCAGTAAAGGCACATCGCTATCCACCTGAAATATGCAATTTGTAATTAATCAGATGGTATCAATGAATACTTGGTTACAAAGAGCGATGTGAGCAAAATATTCTACTGAGATCAGGAAATGCTAATATTGTCACAGAAATCGAAGCCGAAGACAAGTCAGTGTTTAAGATGTGTGATCACTCCTCTTTCGAAGTTGGCACACTAATTTGTATGAAATCCACTGTGTATTTTAAATGATAAAATTCATGACGCAGATAAGAGAACAGGTCCGTTGGCCTACAATACACCGGAGTCTTTAAATTATCAACTCATGAAAAGATGAAAGCATACAGCTCGGAAAATAAGCATTCACTTTGAATAGGAAACATCACTTTTTGTATGTACTTATTGAACAGAACTATAAATGATAGCAATGTGGAAGTTGTCAATTTTTTGAATGCTAAGTTGTTCAAAGTCTTAGGCTACTGACCCTTCTAATCACGCGGTTAAAACTGTTGTATAGTGGTAATGTGAATCTGTTGTGGCAGATTATTGACTGATAATGCTAGCAGCCTCGTAGAAGAGTAATCTGAGAAGGACCACATACGATTAATTGACCAACCATGTGGTTCGATTTAGTGTGTGGCATAAAGTCGACAGAAACGTGTACATAATGCAGTCGTCTGATACTAACAAAGTAGACCAAATCAACAATCATAAAATGTCACTAGTTCACCGAAATGCCAGTCAGTGAGTTGTTCTGGCACGCGTGAAGATTACGATTCCGAATTCATGTGAATGTAGATCGCATATTATGTATTAATTTTTCTTGTTGATTTAGGAAGAAACTGTCACAATCCGAGGACACATGTAATGATGTTAAAGACAACGAAAGTCGTGCAGTTTGTACAGAGTGTAGTACGCATTCGAGATGTAATTCTCTGTCAAATCACTCTGAAGAGGAATCAAACCATTCTCAAAGGTTTAGGAAGACAGCAGAAAACCAAAAAGAAGAAGGTGAGATCGCTGACGACGTTGACGAAGATGATTATGCGGATGTGTTCAATTCTTCTGCGTCTCATATAAGTCAAACACGTAAAAGATGTTGGTCTCGTTCTTCACCCGTCATCCATAAAACTCCAAAACTTTGTTCTGAAAGACAAACGATGGATTCTGCAACCTCTCAAGTTTCTCCAGATTTGAAAAATGCACCACCTTATCCTAAGAGAGTGCAGCGTAGGTCAAGTAGGAGTTCACAGCACTACTCGGAAAAAGATGGCTCGAGAAATTCCAGTTCTGGTTTTGTGGATTTGAGTTATCGAGCCTCTCCTGGATGCGGTAAGTTCTTCTACTCGTAAGCAGTTTCTACTGTTATTAGTTATCCGTCACCATTAAAAGTGAATTATGGAGCATTGAAATTAAGGTGTTACGTATTTGAAATCTTAAACACTGGGTAATTCGTGGAATATAATTGTTAGTAGGCTGGGCGCACGTTCCAAATGGCAGTTTCCTAAACGTCATTCGTTCACAGCTGATCACTGAATGATATCACATGAGGAGTAAGGTTGAGATAGGCAATACTAGACAGGTGTTTCTTCCTATTTCAGTATTCACAGAAAGTCTGCATCATCGACTGACTCGAGAATACTGGTGAGATCATCTCCATTTAGTCACTTAGTTGGAATCTAACAGTTGATGCTTCAGTCACACTAAACATATGATGCAGTTTTGTGAGACAAAGAATTCTTCTTCATCCAACATGGGACTGACAACCACATTCATACATGCACTTCACCAACCTCATACTCGTCTGTGTAAAGAGTTATGAACGGCGCCGAATGTGTGAAGTTAACTAACCACACTACCTGGTTGGTGATGTTATCAGGAGTAGTGGGTGGAGTGGTTTTACATCGGTGACCTCATGGTTAGTGTTTCAAATTGATTCCAGTGATTTGAAGTTGCTGTTTTTCTCTTAGCCGAAATCTTGAACGTCTACTTTTACCAAATCCTTTGCTTTCCTTAACTAGCTCATCTTTTCTGACCTTTCCTGGCTATAATATCTTTGGAGTCCGTGTACTCGGAGTGAATGTTTCTTTTCATTGAATTCTATTTATCAGTAGACTCTTTACTGATCATGCTTCAAGGTTTTGATGTTTTCCGAAATCGTTCCAAGTCACATTTTCACCCACCTCCTCTAAACACTTACTTGACTGGTAGCTGTTGTCTTGACGTGGTGATTAAAAACGTACATCGCAGTGACCCAGAGACCTGTGTTAGTTGAAAAACTTGTTCCTTGAAGTCCTACCCTACAGATATAGCCTCGTGCCGTGAGCAGTCAGGAAGTATCAACCGACCGTACGGTATAAAAACCCTTTATCTTCTCCCTTGATTTCACTTTCTGATACCAAAATTAAGCATCCTATAACTTCCTTAATTTGTGATAATTGCTAATGGTGTCCAAGCCAGCAAAACATCACTTTCAATCTCCTAAACCAAGCTGCCAATTTCTCACTGGAGCTTCAAACGTCCGTACTCTCTGTCAAGATCATACAACAGACATCTCTTGCCAAAACTCTGTAAAATCGAGCCATGCATGTATGCTGTGTTCCTGAGGAAGGCATACAAGACCCAAGTGTGGTATTAGCACCTCGCACACAAGTGCATCAATTTAAGTTGCCACACTTCACAATAATATGCAAAGAACAGGTGGATAGAAATAGAGGGGAATAAAAGTAGACAAAGTAGTGGGAGAGGATAAATGTAAATGTGAATATTCAAGCTTCAGAAGATGTCAAGGAGTGAATACATCAGCGCCATTGTGACCGATTTTCAGCCATGTCACCAAAAGACCTTAACCGTTGATTCTTTTCCGCTCTGGGAAACCAACCAGGTAGTCTAGATCTCCCCACACGACTCAGACAAACAGTCAGAGACTTCGTCGACTGAGGTCAGTTCTTGGTCTGACCACCATGAACCCTCTTCCAACCTAATCCAACGTCCCCTAGCATGGCAGGTCGAGGTAGGCGGTGGCTCGGCATGCACAGTACATGTCCAAGCCATCTCAGTCGACTAAGGTTCACAACCTCATCAGTCGACTTACCTGTCTTGTCTAGTATCCTTCTCCTAACTTCAACATTGCTCACACTATGACTCCACCAAACACTAGCAGTGCTACGGGGATACCTATGAATAACCACTTTGTATCGTCTACTTTGAACGGCCATATTTCGCAGCCCTAAAACATGACAGCGAACTGGATAGCAATTTACTCGTCCTGTGATATGTAGACGGATAGCACGCCAGTCGGCGCCGGAGATGACGCAAGTTGGCAAATGCCAAACGGGCCTTCTGTATCCGAGCTGAGATTTCGACAGCAGCCAACCTGTTCGGGCTGATGCAACTTCCTTAGTAAGTGAAGTGGTCGACACATTCTACCACTTCACTCCCTGTTACTAAACTGAGAGTGGTTGCAGACCCATCCTGGAGCATCATCTTACATTTGTCAGGTGTTAGTGAAACGTTTGCCAAACATATTCGGACTTCTACTCAACACGTTTAGAAGACCTTGCATTTTGTCAGCTTCTTCACGTAGCAAAACAATATCGTCTGCATATTCCAAATCAACCAGATGCCCTACAGGGAACAGAAGTCACATATACTTGTACCTAGAGTTATATCCATTATTACATAAGGAATTCTAAGAGGAACGGTGACAGTGGGCATCTGTGGGGAACATCACTAGTTGTTGTTACTTTTGATGAAAACTTTCTATAAGCATTTTACGTTGTTGGGTGATTTTGAGTAAAAAGCTTGGTAAAGCATTGTGTACTTGCTCGGTACCCAATTAATGTAAGAACAAAACCTGGGCACTATGGTAGAGTGTATCAAAGTGACGTAAATATAAACAATGAATTCTGCTTGATATGTCATTCCGTAAATGATACCGCACCATTGTGTGCCATATCAAATGAACAATCTAAGATAACATTTTGTTCACAGTCACACTGCCACAGCACCTCACAGTCGCCAGAGTCAAATGCTGCCTTCACATCAAAAAATATGGCAAGTGTCGGCCGCCGGTAAGTGTACCTGTGTCACAAGACCTGTCGGAGGGTGAAAATCTGATCGACACACCCTTGTCTAGCTCTGTCTGAAACCTGCCTGGTTTCTTCGAGTATGCTGTTCTCAAGCTCCATTCGGGCGTTGGGTAACTGTGGATCCTAGGATCTTGGACACAATATAAGTGAAGCTAATTCACCTATGGTTGTCACAGGAAAACGTTTCTCCCTTCTTGTGGAGTGGGATGATTAGTGAAGTAGACCAGTGTGATGGAACCGCTTCTGATTCCCATACACTGCTTAGTACCTCCGTCACTTCAGCAATTTGTTTCCTCCATCGTTGAGAACTTCGGGTGGCAAACTGTCAGGTCCTACTGCTTTGCATCGTTTCAGGTTCGACACAGCCTTCTCATCTTCAAGAATAGTTGGGGGACCGAGATCTTCCTTCCATTCAGGTTCGGATTGGATGTTGGGCAACTAAAGCGTCGTTGTAGGCCAGTTGAACTGCGCTTCAAAGTGTTCTGCCCAACGTTCTAGCTACCTGTCCCGTCGTTTCTGGGGGTGGTTTCTTTAACCATCGTCTTGCCAGTATCCTTAATAAGCCTAAATAGTTGCTGATTGTTACCCACCACTGATGCTTTCTTATCTCTCTCTTCCGCCACTCACCACTTCTCGTGGTCCTTGTGAAGACTCTTAGTCAGTTCATGTCTCTTTCGCTTCTGCTTTTCATCGTGGTCAGAGTTAGTTGGAATCAATCTTCTCGTACCAATCTGTTTGGATGTCGTTGCGGAATTCCAGTGACGTTTGCTAACCTTCGGGTGTAGGTCTACAATTATGTTAACCGCTGCTTCTACAGACCTAATATCACGCCAGGTTTTTTAAGGGTGAGCATTGGTGTCATGTTCAGATAAATGCTTAGCTATCTCTTCCCTAACTTCGGACTTGACGTTTACGTCTTCTAATCAACCATAGACAGGTTTCACTACCATCTCAAAAAGAAAGGAAGGTGTGTGATTGCAAAGCCCATAGAATATCTGCTTGAGACCTGTCACACAGTCTGTTCCGTGCTGTTTTGTGGTTTGGTTTTTCTAACACCGGGTTGAAAAAACCCATACCACCGGCACCGGAAGACCCTGGTATATAATGGTGTGTTATTTTTGGACGGACTTCATCTAACCCTCACCTGCTTTTTGTTGGAAAGGCACCATCAGCGTGCACTGCTGGTCATCGTAGATAAACACTTTACTGCTATCACACCCCATCCAGACAGCAGTATGACTTCGCCCTCAGACCCGCCATAGTGTAGCAATTTACGCTACAACGGTAACTGATTTTCATCCTATTGCTATCAAAAACCTTCCTGGTATGGTAGGACCTCAAGGGAATAAGCGTTCCACCAACATACCTCGTTGGGTCATTGTGATATACAAGTCCGACCACCAGGTCAAGGTAGGCGCTGTCGACCGGGACTAAATCTAAGCGTTATTCAAACAGCTCTTCAACATAATGGCTTTAAATTTATTCCTTTGCGTAAATACTATCACAACCAGAACGAGTTCTAGGAATAGTGAGGCGAAGGTGAGTCGACATCAAATGTGCCAAATGCATTCAACACTTACATTCTTTCTCAATTATTTTCGTGAAGTGACCGATTCTTTCTTGGACAGTTGATTTCATGTCGAATAATCAGTGTTATATCTTGCTGATTGGCACAAGCCATAATTGCAGCATTGATACTTACTTCGATTGACATACACAGCTCGCCTGATACCCCAACATATGTGCTAACTGGCTTACCGGTGTTGAAGTACAGAGTCTTCAACAGAGTGATATACTATCCTGATTGCCGTTTGAGTCCAAGTAACTGTCATACAACTTTTATCTGCAAGGTGGAAGTTTTGCCTTCAGATCGGGAAATAAAACCAATGTCGGACGTCGGTAAATGTGTTTGTGTTCCAGAATCTGACAGAGGGTGAATATCTGGTCGACACACTCACAGTTAGTTCTTAAACCTGTGTGGTTTTCCCGCTTTTGTTTCTCACCTCCACTTAGACTTCTAATGATTATAAAACCTAGAATCCTAGACACTGTCTTAGTCAGATTGATTGCTGTGTGGTTTTGGCAGCAGGTTTTTTTTGCCTTCTTTGGAGTCTTGGAGAATCAGTGATTGTGACCACTCTGAGGTAATCTTATCTGAAACTGACACTGCAGTTAATCTGACCAATAATTCATGACCGCTGTCCTCAAATGTCTGTATTCGCATGTTTTCTCCTGTTGCTCATCCTAGTTACAGTTTATTCACAGCCTTCTCAACTTTTGCTACTTTGGAGGGCCATTCTCGATGTTAGATTCAAGATCCGACTGGATAGCAGGCAGCGGAAAAGTGACTGAAGGCCAGTTGAAATGTCCCACGAAGGGTTCTACCCACTGTTTCTGTTGTCTGCCTTGCGAGGGGTTCACAGACCCATCCAATCTACGCTTTCTAAGAAGGTCATCGGTTTTTGTCCACAAGCATTTTCGCAGCACGTGTACTTGACAGAAGGGGTAAGTTAATGCATGAGGTTGTTAACCTTTAAGCGACTAAGATGGCTTGGATATATGTTGTGCTTGGTGAGCTACCAGCTACTTCTTAGTGCAACGATATCCGAAATTGAGTTGGGTTTCGTAGGAAGTAGGCTCAGGTGGACCAGATCGAGATGTGGGATCAACCCACGAGGCCTATGTTAGTCTTAACCGTGTTGGGAAGTGCTGACTCTTTCGTTAGGGTCGCCGAGTTGATCGGAATCAATGTTCAGAGATCCTCGGTGACACGCTGGAAACTAGTCACACTCGTGAAGATTTATCCAATCTTTGATAACTTCCAGAGTGTGCAAATTTCATTTTTCAAATTCTTTCTCTCCCCCTTCCCGCCCCATACATTTCGGTTTACCTTGATACTAGTCTTTTTCTATCCACTTACTTTTGCATGCTACTGCGAGGAGTGGCAGCGCTGATTTTGTTTGTCTTCGTATGAATTATTTAGTGTAAGGGAGTATATAGTGTTGTCCGGTCCTATTTTAAGGTTAAGTGTTGTCTTCCCCGCATTTGCTGGTTTCTTTTTCTTTTGAAGAGGATCGTCATTCCCCCAATGTAGTTACTACAAGATTTTCTCATTCTCCTGAACGTCGCCATCGTGGGTCGCGATATAATTCGTCCATTTCCAGATCCCCTTCAATGAAACATTCTCGTGGTGAATATCATAATGATCCATATCGGTCCTCAAACTCGCGTTCTAAAAATCATCCTAGTCGTCGTCGTTATAAATCGCCAGAGATAAATGGTAGAGATTTCAACTTGGGAAAACATGATCGATCAACTATTTCGTCGAACTCACCGAGACGACGGTTTCGCCATTCGCCTGCACCACCAAATAACCCTAACTCTTCCTATCGTCGATTTGAACGTGATAGGATGACCCGTGACAATAGACGATTTCGTGCTTTCTCTCCTGCTCTGAACAGAAATCCCCATCATCGACTTGGCATAAATTCATCAAAGGTATCTGGTTCACGCTTTAATCGTGTTCACCATCAACGCAGATTTTAATATTGTCAGTTCACAATGTTGTACAGCTTTAAATCTTCCACATATTTATTCCAAGAACTAGAGAAAAAACTCAGAAGTATAATCTATTTTTTATTTTGACTACTTATATTTCTTTCACTTTAACAAATGGCATCATAGTTAGTTTTCGAGCATTCCGAGTTTATTTTTTATTCCTGCATATTAATGCTGTTTTCCCTAGTTTGTCTGTTTTGTGTGTATTACTGCTGTCCATTGTTTCATTTGAAAGTATTTTTTTCGAAGGGGACTACAAGGTAGTGTATTGAAAGCTGTGTTTACATGTAACACTACTTAGTTCCTTAGTTAGCCAATCATTTGAATTTATACATTACTGTTACTACTATTTCAGTTCCCGTTTAGTCTTTTCTTGTCAATAAATCCCGCTGTATCTATTCAAACTGAAATACGTGAAAAATTGAAACTCAACTGTGAACGAAGAATGTTCTTTTCAACAACTCACTAGGTTATACAGTTGTAAAGTCAATTTCGTTAACATATTAATAGCCAGAATTTACGACGAATGCTTTTAAGAGTGGGTACGGAACTATGATCAAAATTTGATTCTTTAAGATTGTGGGTGGTAGTGTAACTTATGTAAACTTTGTCAATTAATTGGTGATCAGACGTATAGGGAAGGAAAATTATTAATAAAGTTCAAGGTTGCATTGTATCGAGTCAGTGATTAGTACGAGGAATGACATGAATTTACCTAAGGGCAGAAATGAGGTGGATATGTCACCATAAGATGGCTAATATGTGAAACGACTAAGATAATAAGAGTAGTAATACTGTGAGAGAGAAAATGTTCACAGAAATTCAAAAGGTTTATTATAATAAGACGTGAGGAGAGACTGGTTAACAATAATAGCAATAATTACAAGCATATCCATAAATAGTAAAACTAATATCGGTTGCACAAGACGTGACTGACTATCAAGCCTCCGTGGCGTAGTGGGTAACGCTTTGGTGATTGGATCTATGGCCACGAGGTTCGAGTTTCAGTGGAAACAACATCACTCATCGAGGTACAGATACACCCAGCTGACGAGTTCCAAATAGGACGGAACGCGCATCCTGGACTCTTTTACCAGCCAGCCACAACGAAGTGAATCACCGTAATTTTACTTTTCATTACGTGGAAGAAAAGAAGAGCGGGAATGGAAGCAGAAACCAAAAAACATTAGGAAACAAACAAAAGGGTTGAGGAAATACTGTTTAGTCAATGGGAAGGCCAAGGGAGGACCCTGATTACATGGCATAGAATGCCTGTTCAGTTCTGTCCATTGGGTAAATAGCTACATATCGTGTGATAGCTGACGATATTACATAGTAGCGAAAACCTCGGTGGGTTTAAGGTGTATAGCCCTAACCCGTTGGTTGAGAGTCACAGGAGAGAAGTGAGAGACTAGAAGTAGACTAACCGGTTTTTTTTTTCAAGGAACGATAGCCAACTGACTGTACTGTTCAATAGGTTATGGAAAACTCGGTGTTCTATTTTTCTGAAGTTAAACTGCTTCTGCACCTATTTTCGTTACACAACATTAACCTGTTAGCCCTGCGTCGAGAATCTTGACAGTTATCTTACCTTTCAAACTCATAGGAAGCTTATTTGTCAGGTGTGTGCCAGGTTTCGTTGAGGTTGCGGATGCATAACTTTACACCAATAATTTTCCGGATGCTTCAACAATACACGGGTTGCAAACCAACAACTGTTGTTTTTTGGTAACTGGGGTTGCCCTCAATTTCTTTGACAGAACTGTGTGATTGTATGAACTGTCAGAAATTATTCTCACTAAAAATCTCTGTACAAATACAGGTCAGAGTGAGTGTTTCCAATCACCTGTTTGTTGTTCAAAACTAGAAATGAGCTGATGCGATGCTACGCGATCCTGCCATCGCTCCCAACATTTCCATCGATGACGTTCTTGAGACACATTTGATGTGAGTGCAATGCAAATCTGCTAGTAAAATAAATACTATCCAACCTTGAGTAAATAAACGATGTCTTTGCACTTTTCACTGGAAAACATACTCCCTAGGTCTCACTTAATCAACTGATGCTTGATAATAGCGAGTATAGTTTGCACTATATACCATCGAAATGAAAAATTACCCATGCACAACTGGTAGGAGTCTGTGCCTGTACTTACTCTTAACAATTAACTGTTATAGTTGTCGGAGTAATCCGTGCCTTTGATGAATAATAACCGCTTAGTATGACGAAGTCCACTAGAACTAACATTGGTACCTAGATAAACGAACTGTCCCACTACCTGTGACCAACAGTTGGTTAGTGGATGTATACCCCATTTCCTTAAGTTGTCAAGCTTAAACAACAGACCCAAAGCTCATAGCCTTTTTCATCTGCTTTTGTATTACTAATCAAATGCCATCACAACTACGCATATTAGGAACCGTATTGGATTAAGTTGCACTAAATTCCACTCAATAACTACCAATGGATCTGAGCTGAGGATGAACCAAAATTAAAGGAAGAACCGAAATTCTGTTGAATAACCCAATAAGAACACAGTTTGCCAGGTAAGATGACATCATATTTCATCGGATTTTCTCCAGCTTCATACAACCTGAATAAATAAGTCAATAGTCGCTATAACAAATCATAACACAACTTATATGTAGCGTTTCAAGATACCGCTTGGTGTTTTAAAGAATAGGAAAGCAAAGTATTCACAGAAATTGCCACCGTCACGCGAAAATCTTTGACGTGTAGCCAAATCTCATACTGACTCAACCAAAAACGTGATAACCAGTTTACGGGGGAAATTGGATTGCTTTGACAAATATGCAAATGAATTAAGCAGTGTCTGTCAGCTGAAGTTCGTCAGTTTTATCTAAGATCTCCAATTTCAAAAAACAAGTCAGAGAATTTTCAAAGTCGTTAGTCAAAGACCAACTCTATGAGAAGTTTCTAGGAAACTTATCGAATATCAAGTTAAAACAGCTCCAAAATGAAGCTCTTTCCCTTGGATTTCGACTTCACATCCCAGGAAACACCTTTAGCAGAACTAATACTGAGACACATTTCGAGAATTCCTTCAATCAGTTGGTCGATCTACAGTCTTTTGATGAAGTTGAGAACGGGTGGTTCAAATCTAAACTTGTCGATATTGTAAATCAGCACTAAATGTCAACACTATCCCAATCCAATGTCCTCACCGAAGGACATCATTTGACTTTGAAAGAATTGATAAACGACCAACGAATCGCAATTCTTCAGGCTGACAAGGGGTCCGGTGTGGTTGTAATGAATAAGGAAGAATGTAGCAAGGAGATGGAATTAACGTTGGCTGATCCTGCTCGATTCAGAAAGGATGATCACAATAAAGATATAACAGAAATGATCGGAAAGTGAATCACTAAATATCTCAGGGAAATATTCAGAATAAAGCTGATTGATAATGAGACCTTAAATGAAATCAGACTGAGAGGATCTCGCATACCAATCAATGGATGGACATTCAAAAATACATGAGACGGACATACCGGCGAGACCTATTCTATTCATGATTAACTCTGCATGTCACAAGCTTTTCCGTTGGCTAACAAAGAAGTTGGAAGAGGTTTGTCAAAAATCATCAATATATACTTTGAAAGACTCTTTTTACTTCATCGAGAGAATGAAATATCTGGATGCGTCGGACAAATTGATGGCTTCATATGACACAACTTCTCTGTTCATGAGTATACTTCTGCTTGAGACAATAGATGTTATTTGGAAATACACAGAAGACATCTCATTACCGAAAACAGAAATGAAGCTTCTCCCACCTTTTTGCACTAAAGATGTTCACTTCCAATTCAACAGCACCATATCTAAGCAAGTTGACGGTGTGGATACGGTAAGTCCACTATGACCAGTAATGGAGGATATCTTCATGTCGTAATTAGAAAGCACTACCTTGAAACCGGGGATCAATGAAACCGTTTTATTTAAGATATGTTCATAATACCTTTTTACCTGTGAAAACGTTGAACAAGCAAGGAAGCTGCTTCAACATTTCAGTAAGACACATCATGGTGTTAAGTTTACGATGGAATGTGAAAAGCAGAAGCTGAATGTTCTTGACTTGAGACGTAATCAAGACAGTACAATAGAGGTGGATTCACTGCAAAACTACATGAAGCGGTCAGTATTTAAACTTCAACGATTCATCCCCAGTCACCTATAAGAGAGGTTTAGTGAGGGCGTTGTACCAGATAACAAAGAGATTATGTTCTCCAGAAAAAACTCGAGAAGAATTTCAATAAGTCTAACAATATCTACACAATAATGGTTATCCAGTGAAGTTTTTTCAGAAGTACTACCAAAGCAAGGAGAAGAAATCAGGATGTATTACAGTTGAAAAGAAACTGGCGTTTCTTACTTTGGTTTTCAAAGATGATGTTGCGACATGAATCAACAGACGAATTGGGAGTGCACTGTCTAGGACATATTTGGCAGTGAAAATTGTCTCACTGTACCTAACAACATGTGCAATTAAACAATCCAAATTCGACAAAGCACCAACTCTTGTTAACTCCAAATGTATTTATCAATTCACATGTACATACGGTAGCAAGTACGTGGGAAAAACAGAGACGCGTTTGTCTACCAGGATTACGCAGCTATGAAGTTCACCTGCGAGGAAGAACAAGGGAATATTATTCCTTTTCTAGATGTCCTCCTTACCAGGAAAACGGATGGATATATTAAGAGGAATATTTTTCGAAAGAACCCATGGACTAGTCAATATGCTCACTTTCATAGTATAAAAGAAACCTGGTCAAATGCCTGAGTTGCAGAATAAGAAAAATATGTTCTGATGACTCTATTGAAGAAGAAATGAACAAGCTGAAGATAGCATTGCAGCGAAATGGTTATCCGGTAAACTTCATAAATAAACATGCTGAAACCTAGAGAGAAGATGAAGGAAGATAATGTTGCCAAGAAGCCTATATATCTTAGACTGAGTTTCAAA